AAAATCTTACCACAGCCTTGCAGCGCAAGAAAGCCAATCATGAGAAACCCTTATCCAATAATATATTGATCCTTGGTTCTGACACTTGGGAAAAAGCAATACGTAGTCCAAAATAAGCAAATAAACTATCATCTGGAAGAAGAACGAAATAAGCGATATCCTGAAGCAATTCCAAGACCCCCCCATCCTTTATTGATGATGCCTCTCTGTCCAGTTTTTCTCCAGTGCTTGCACAATTATTTTATTGAGTCATTTTTTCTGGCCCTTCAACAGGCTGTAATAAGAAGGCAACAGTGACAAGCAATGAGGTAAAACAAGCCGATTTCTCTTTATTATCAAGCAGGACATTAAACCTGCACATCTAATCTATTACTCGCAAAAGAGCATTTGCACAACCAAAATCATTATTTTAGAGAGAATATACAAACATCAAAAAACAGATGGCAGAAATTCAAACAATGAAGTACTTTATAAAAAATACTACCTCTGGTCCTTAATACAAGACCTTGTTTGACTTTTACTTTGGTCCTAAATATAAAACCCTAATCCACTTTGTCTTTTATATTTATGCATTTTTTTTCAAAGTAGTCCTTCTAATAATAGTAGTTCTAGTCAATACACTTGATTAACAAGGATATTTTAGAAAAGACAACACCTATTTATTACAAATAACTAGTTTAACTTATTTCCTTAATATTCTCAAATTAGTCAACTAGCTCTTATATTTAGAACAGGAAGTAGTACAAACAAAATAATAAAACATTTGATAAACGAGATTTAAAATTTGTCAGTACTTCCATGACACTATAGGATGGGAAAAAATATATGAAATCAAGCATTCCCCAAATCAAAATCAGAAGGCGACTGACTAGCAGTGGCTTTGAAAATAAATCATATGATGCCTAGTATTTGAAGAGAAAAATGTAAATACTCAAAAGTCGAACCTTATCACAATTACCTCAAGATTTGCAATATAATTTCCTTAATTTTTCAGATTCACAATTCAAAATAGATCAGAAAAAATAACCAGATCGTGCTCTCATTGATAATACTAGTTCTAAGTTCCTTGATTCTAAGAATAGAAAATACAATTTAATTTGTTATCCCATGTATTACAGCAGATGGAAGCAAGATAACATTTGATAGATGCTTTGAGGCACCTTGTCATCAGAATCCATTTTGTTACCCACAGTAAAAATGATGAGTCACCAAACCATATTCTTAAAGCTAGATTTAGCATACAGAATTCATGTACGAACCAAAGGCATAAAAAGTAAACATAAGAAGACTCACCAGGCTACCAAATCCAATATAAATGGGCTTGTCACCAGCTTCAAGCCATTTTACGAGGGATTCAGGAGGTTCATAGTTTGATGCAAGATCGAGGAAGCAAAACCCAACCACATCAATTTTTGGTCCCCAATCTGCCAACCAAGAAAAAACAGTAAAACATCCAAATTGCATATCAAGAGACATAATTCAACCTATCACAAAAGTTCTGAGAAACATCCTCCTTTAATGCAACTATTGCCAGTCAAGAGAATTAGATTTTTCATTACATTTAACCACAAAAAGAGACCAATGAAAATAATGAATATATATTTTAAGTTAATTATTTTTATCATAAAGAATATAAGCATAACACAAGGCACTAGAGTTATGAAATGAAGAATTCAAGAAATCTCCACTACGATATGAAACTGTATCTATCAAACTCCGAATAAAATAAATGACTTGACATAAAAAGCAGTAAAACTGACACCTAAAACAACCACCTTTTGGTTTAGGAACAAGGTGAGGGCTCCATATATATGCATGTGGAACATCAGTGTCAGAGCCTTGTGAACCACTCAAATACGTGACTGGTCGCAACTTCAGCTTTTTCTTCCTAAGATCATTAATCATGTCGCGAATTCCCAGCCAAATCAATGAGTCGACAATTTGATATGAAAGCTGAAGGAGTTACAAATGATCACTTTTGAGTGAAACAAGAGGGCAACAAAAATAAAAGGGATGAAAGGAGATGATAACAGATATGAAATAAATAACTCACCCTATAACCAGCTTGTTGCTTAACACGGGACAAAGGATGTGGAAATTCACTGGTTGGTCTGGAAGGAAAAGGAAAAATACATATAATGTGGATTTAAATCCCCCAACAAAGCTAAAACCAACGCAATCAATAGGTAAAGAACATGAATGAATAACAGTAGACTGGAATAACTGGATGAAATTGTGAAACAAGATTACATAGATGAGACTTACGTCCATGGCATAGTGAAAAATATATGTATTGGTATTTTCAGTGCTTCTGCCACGTGGGTATGCCCTAAAGATTGGCATCACAATTTCAGACAGGTCGAAAAATATAATTAACCAGCAGGCAGAAAAGGCACAGTAAAACAAATAAAAGAGCAGTATAGAAACAGCAACCAAAATTACAAAGTAGAAGCAGAATTAGTCCATAATAGCATGTCCAGCGGAGATGAGAAAAGAAATTTGGAAGCCACCAAGATACAAGACAGCATGGCGTATCATCTAATGACTAAAGTTGGAATATGATGAGAAATAAAGTCTATTGGTGGAGCTCAAGGTCTATTTCTGAGGCAGATTTTCCAGACTATTTTTCATTCACAGTGATAAAAGAAATATTTTAATGGATATGGAATTATATAAACTAGAAAATTTTTAGATGTGTCACGTCTCAAAAATTCAAAGAAATACTATGGAAGCTTTCTTCCATAACCAACATTCTTCTATCAGTTATCAGATTGAGCAAGTAAGACAAATTATGCTTTTAGCTAATGAAGAGTTCCATCAGTGGAGCACCTTTAAATGCAAGCATCAGGGCAAGCATTCGGCCCAGATTGATAAGCCTCTGCTGTATATATCCCCTTATTCAGAATCAATGAAATATACAAGAATGTTTTTTTACTCCTCTCTACGTGCACAAATTCAACCCGTCGTATTTACACGTGTTGATCAAGAAAACATACCATATGCTGGTGGATTGGCAATAATTGCATCCGCTTTGAAGGAGACACCAGAATCAATATCAGGTTCCTTACAGGCTGGAAGCAAGGAGTTAACGATCTCCTTGATTTGATTTCGCTGAATAGGTATGTCAGAAGGTCCTGATGGAAGGAAGCCCTTATTTTTAACCATATCTGCTCCAGAAAGGAAAATGAAAAATAAAAATAGAAAAACAATTATACAGAAGGCTATAATCCCATGATCTGAACTCCAAAAGCACTGTTTTAGACCATTTCAGGAAAACAAGCTTCTTTCAAGCAAAAGAGTTTGCCACTTAGAAAATGAGTAGGGTGAAGAAAACATATTGCACAGCCAATTCTTTGTAAGAGTAGGCATCCAGTTTTTTCTTAGCTATCCATAACTTAGAAGGTAACGGTTACAAAATCATACGGGAGTTGACAGAGCAGGATTTACAATGATTTAAGATACACATACATAAAAGATCAAATAATCTGATAAAGATTAGGTCTCATCAAGCACCTCACTTCTTGCCATTTTCTTAAGTTTTTCTTGCAAATCATAAGGGTTTCTTATCCTTGCCATTTCCTCTAATGATAATGGAAAACAAGACTTAGAGGATAGACATGGGGAATTTTAGGGTAAAAGCAAAAAGCATACAACATCCGTTTCAAAACATCTACCGTTTAAGGTTATGCATACAATTTATGAAAGCTATTAAATGATCTAGATTTATAGTAAATTTTGGTTTTAATTTGTTTTGGACTAAAATATCCTTAAATAATGGAGAAAGCAAATTTGAGATCAGTGGACTTATGATTGTTGTAATTAATGAAGGATAAATTTGTACAAAAATAATTAATACTCAATGAAATTTTATAACTTTGAAAATAAAAAACCAAAACTTCAAAACAGATATTTTGAAACGGCCTACATTGCCGAGAAAGTGATTTTCGCAAAAATTAGGAGCAGTTAGAAATTGATTGTCCTGACAATGGCCTTGTAGCCTAGTGGTATGAGAGTTTCAAGTTATTGGTTTGATCCTGCTTGTAACCTCAGGCTAACAGTGCCTACCCCTTTAACTCTGTGTGTGTGTGTGTGTGTGAGAAGTGGTAAAGCAGTCCCAGCCGCCTACATCTAATCAAAGGAGTTAACAAAATAAGCACCCACAAGCACAGCTTGCACAAAAATCCCAACCGCAGTTTGATCAACAACAGGACAAAAAATTCCATATAGTTATGAGAACCCAATGTGAAAGATCTAACAAATTAGACTGTTTTGCAAAACTATTGCATTAAATGTCACCAAAAAAAATACAATTTCATTTTTAAAAAAAGGTAATGCACAAACATGCACATGTATATGCACAGATGGACACACTATTGAGGTCAAAAGCCTCAATAGGATGATATCAATATACACTTAAGCCCACTTGTTATAGTGTAAGCAGAAGCCCAAATGCACCATATATAGTAGTGCTTTGAAACAGGCTGAAACAGAGGTTCCTCAGAAGATACCCTTAAACCAGTTTCGACAACAAGCAAGAAGCCAAAACAAAATGAGCAGGAGGACTGATAAACAACGACTACTCAGATAATTTAGTAGAAATGTACATGGGTTTATGGTACATACAACCAGCAAGGACTTTTGGATCACCGCCTAACGGATAAAACTCCAAGCCAGCTGTCAGGACAAACTCCTTAAAATTTGAATGTGTAGCTAACCTAACACGATGACCATAGTCCTGCACATAAATGCATATAAGAGCCTCAATTTTAACTCAAAGAATCTTCAATGGAATTCAAACTTTGAAACTTCAAAATTCAATCAACACATTATTTTTTCTAAGATAGTTATCCGAGCAATTGACACATCGTTTCTTCTAACATGAAGTCTGAACAATTTAATAAACAAAAACCTTTCACTAACAGAAGTTGGAGTAGTGTATCAAAGTATACTTAATAGCAGTTAGCTGCTAGTTAACACCTTTGTGCAAGGAAGGAAATAATACCAGAGAATTAAACTGGGTAGCAGAGAACCCCTGGTGCAGCAGTTAGGGGAAAAAATGGAGTAATTGTATTTTAAGTTGTAAAAGCTGAGCAATAGTCAAGACAGCATACTGTATCAGGCACCCGTTTTCAAGCAAAGACTTTTAAATACCATTAAGACATCAAACACCCAGTTTCATTTCTAAACCCCAATCTAAATTTTTTGAAAGTTTGAAATGCTATAATGCAGCCAATGCATGTAGATCAGGATACTACAACGAGGGCTGACTAAAACCTATAAGAGAATTGAAACAAAATAAAGTTAAGAGGAAAATTTTGCTGGGAGGATAATGAAAATGAGAAAGGATAATTATGTCTGCATGCATAATATTTTTTTCCTTCTAATATGGTCTTTCCCCTTGTAAACCAAGAGAATCACAACAATTTCTTTAATCTGCCAACTAGGATGACTACTTAGCCTTGACAATCTACAAGTGACATACACCAAATTTTATGTTGTCATAGTCTATGAAGCAGCATGATAGATAAGATATAAAGAATAGAAGCAACGTTTTAAAGCATGAAAGTTATGAAAGAATGACTGGACCTTCATACTGCATGTTTTCAGAGTGAATGACACCTGGAAGCCTCTATCAATCTTCTCTAGGTGTTTTCCTTATGTTATTTCCCCATAACAAAATAAAATATCTCGCAACACATGCCCACATTCAAATGAAGCTCAAAAGAGGCTCCAAGGAATTCCATAATCACAGAAAAAAACATAAGGCTATGGCTTTCAGACCGGCCACATTTTCATGACACCACTAATAATTATAAAGCAGCTTGCAATATTTGGAAGTATTCAATATTTTAGCACATTTTTCCAGCAAATTCAACAACAACAAAAAATTATTGCCAATTTTATTTTTGAATTTGAGAGGACTCCGGTGAAAATATGTTGATGTGATGTGGTTTCTTTATGTTCTGGATCTTTGTTACCAGCTCTCCATCTTGAAACCCAAAGGCTAAGCCTTCAAAGAATCACCACTGGTACCAATGTCGCCAGTTGATGTATGGTGCTTTCTTTATTCAATAAAATGTGTTACTATGAACAGAACTTGTTTTTGTTTTTAACCATCGGGGTTGGAGTTTCGCCACCCCTAAAAGGGGACAAGCAAAAGTTGAGGCATAATGAATAGAGTATGTACCTGCAATCGTTTGCCTATTGCAATAAATGGTTGCACATCACCACGTGTACCAACAATAAGCATTACTATCTGTAATGGCGGTATGTATTGAAGGTCTGTTGCATCAAGCGAATCATCATCAACTACATTATCTGCATGTTTGGATTGAGCCCTGAGGGCTTCAGGTTCTACATCTCCTGGAACTTCAAATTCTACAGTTCCATCACCCTTTACAGTAGCTATTCTGTTTAACAATTTAAGCTGCACAATTATAAAATTTAACTGAGGGTTCATGCTGATAAGCTTAAAATATAAGATGATGATGATAATGATGTCAAAAAGAGCATGGTGATTGTTGAAAACTAACATTGACCACTTTTTTGCCCAAAACATTCATTAGGTTCCAATCAGTGAAATTTTTATTGGCCAAAGAATTCCTACTTCCTCACAAGAAAACCAATTATGCTTAAAAGAAGACTGTCAGAACTTGACTATTTAGAATATCCAACTGTTCTATAATGATTGAAGCAGATACATGGAATCAAAGTCAGCCTATTTTCACTTTAGTTGGTTTAGTTATTAGGTAGCTATTCTTAGGTAATAAAACTGCTACCATTAGTCTTTAGAAGTGGGTGACGAAAGAATGCTTGGAAACCAGCATATGGGGTGAGGGAAGGCAAAAGTTTATAGATCACAGTAAATTACCTTCTCTTGGACAGGAATTTTGTCATCAAAAATTTGTGCCGCATCCTCGGGCCGTAGATGTCTCTGTCTCTCTGTTTTGGATCTTTCCAACTTAGACTGGCTTGAATTTGACTCCAACTTATCAGTATGTGATATTCCTATAGGTAATGTGCTCACTTTACACAACCCTCTCCCAGAAATCCCTGAGCAAGAACAGTAAACATGAGTACCCTAGATATAACCCAGAAATGAGCAACAAAGTCAAGGCATCAAACATAATGTTAAAAAAAGTAATTGTGATATGATAGAGTGCGATTGACAGAGAACCTCACAATAGGTTAGTTATAGGAAGTAGGAATTAATCTACCAACAAAAAGGAGAGAAGCAGTTTCTGATAAACTTTCAAATAAATGTAATAGACAAAGAGGTCATGACACCCATATCAGGCAACCAACGCTTAATCTATGTGTGTTGCACGTAAAGAAGAGAATCTATATATCTATATAGTCTATAAAAGCTATAGAGAGCCATTTGACATATGAATAGTAACTAGCTTGTGTTAGGCTCTGCGCATAGCACAGGCCCCACATCTAGTTAATCATAAAAAATGTTGCAAAGAACAAAGATCATTACTGATCCGCAACTAGACTGTCAAGAAACCACAAAATCCTGGAAGGATCAAATACCAAGAAAAGCCTGTAGAAGACATGATGAAGTTAAGAGGCAAAGAAAATGCAAAATCCAATAATAACACAAACACACACAAAACAAGATGACGTAACTAAGCGTTGATACACTAATAATCAACTATTTAGCATAAGGTGACCATGATTCTAATAAAGCACATTTCAAAATGACATAAGTATCCATACAGTCATTTAATCATTTTACAACATGCCAATGATAAGATAAAAGGATATCATATAATATGAGTTGTTTGGGCTGTATCTATTTCCACAATTTGCTTTTCATTAAACATTGATGGCCAAGCCTCCAACAATTTTGTGGTCTCACAACAAATATCTGGCCCCCCCTTTATTTCATAAAAGGAATGAAGGCTTAAAGTTCAATATTTTGCACGCCAGAGAATCTTGTTGAACACTTGAGATTTCCCTAAAAAGCAACGATAAAACATTCCAGGTACTTATATAGCTTTTGACATTAAGTGGCCAAACTAGTCAGTAAATCCCAACTTGGATAAATTTATTTTGAAAAATTTTCAATACAAATTACGATGGAGTAGAGTGAGACGGCATCACTAACAAATGTCAGTGAGACTAAAATCCACATAGCAGCTCTTAGAATGCTTCTGCTCTCGGAATAAGATTTTTCATTCAACCAAAAAAGGAGGAGAAAAAAGATGCGTTTCATATCACTGAAAGAATATAAAACTTTTTCCACCATGAGATACGTGTCTAAAGATATCAGATTCCTCAAAGACAATACTAAACCTCGGATTGTCTGTTACTTCTACAACACACGCACACGCAGAAACATAAATACATTAAAGAAACATGCATGCATGCGCATGCGCGCGCGCGCACAACAGCTGTAGTCCTTTGCTTGGTTCCTAGGAAGTTGAATATCCTTAATTTAACAGCATTACATCCACAATGACATTTGTGAACCCTGTTGACTTCATTAATCCCCACAGTTGACTACTTATGTGACAAGGAATTGGAATTTGCTTTGTGCTTTGTTCTTGGGAAGTCGGATAACCTAGCGTATAATCCCGCCTATTATGACTACAAGTGGCTAATCTCAGTATAACCCGCAATGTTCATAGCAAAATAAGTGCAACTGCCGGGGTGGATTACAGTGATAAATAATCCATTCGACGAAATCCCAAAGGTTCTTAATGACCTTCCCCGCGAGAGGTGCGCTTGGCACGGCAAACAAGTTAGAATTAAATAAGCCCATCCCGTCTCCCACGTATTGATTATCTTTGGGGCAGTTGGTCCGTGATATTCCAAAGCCGCCAACTTCAAATTTTCAAAGGATTATTTCGATCGGATTTTGCCGGTCGTTCAGTTTTCTAGAAATCAAGTAAGAGGTAACTATAATTAATGACATAGAACTTCTCAGGGGAAAAAAAATCTTAAGGAATCTGTTATAATGTAACCAAAGTCCATTGACTAATGGTTGTCTAGAGACAAGTCCAAATGCAATTTTCTTCTGTTGTTCTTAATTTACAAAGCATAAACTCAGGAGACGAAGGAGGAGGAAGAGAAGATGAGTCCAACAAAGATAATTTTACAAACCAGAAGAGCTACTGCCACCATTATCAAGTGAGGCACCATTAGCGGCATCTCTACTACCATCCATTCCAATTCCTTTGCTACTTCCACTCCCAACACCATCAGGCACTTCATGCTGAACTCTGACCGAGAGATCGCTGGAACTGGAAGAAGAGCTCCGGCGTTTTTCCTGCAAGTCGGCCATTACGAGGGCCCCCGATTCCGATGGAATCGATGCAGATCGAAGGAGAGACAGAAGAGGAAGCGAGAATTCAGAGAAGGAATCAGTAGAAAGAGAAAGAGGGAGGGGGTGGTGAAGAGAGAGTGGGGGTGGGAAAGTGCAGAAAAGAAGAGGGGACACGTCCGCAAATGCGCGTGAATGTGATATTTAGAAAGCGCACACTCGACATTCGCAACCGCTGCATTCGAATTCGATTCGATTTTTATTTGGATTTTGGACCCGATGTAAATGGGAGGCAAACACCATCGTCGTGTCGATCTTCGGTGCGGGGAAAATCATCGCGTCATTGTCTGAACAATTTGCGACTATTTCCGATTCAATTCTTTTCCCAAAGGAAAAGAAAACATAAATAGGCATTTATTTAAATATAATAGATATATAAATAAGACGAAGAAGAACTATTCAACTTTAAAAAATTATAAACTATTAAGTTTCACTCCTTTTATTGATGAAGAGTTGATATTAATCATAATCAATAATAAAAATGTTTTGATGAAATAATAAAATGTAAGGACACAAAAATGTCCACAAATTTATAAATTACTACTACTTCCGGTCCTAATTATAAGAGTTAATTGACTAATTTGAGAAAATTAAAAAAACAAGCTGAGTTAATTATTTGTCCTAAATAAGTGTTGTCTTTCCTAAAATATTCTTACTAATCAAGTGTATTGATTAAAACTATCATTGTTAGAAGGAATACTTTGAAAAAAAATATAAATATGAGAGAAAAAGTGGATTGTGGTCTTATATTTAGGATCAAAATAAAAGTCAAACATGGTTTTATATTAAGAGGTAGTACAATTTAAAACCCATTGAATTAGTCCATTAACTAGTTTTAGGATGGATCATCTGAGTTAGATTTTTTCTTTTTTCTTTTTTATTAAACCTAATATAACTTCATCTTCAATCCTAAGAAAATAACATTGTGTTATATTTGTGATTTAGTAACTCTATTTTCTAGAATTTTTTTGGTTTATACCTGAATATTTCATTTACTTATTAATAATGCCTTTTTATTTAAGTATTATTCTTTTAAGAGTCATATGTGAATATTTTATATATTTTAGTTAAATTATTTGATTTTAATCGTGACTAGTCTGATTCTAGGTTAACCATTAATCCTTAAAAATCCATATAAAGTGATTTGGAATTAAATTATGGCAAAATTATATAAATACCCCTTAATTTAAAATATAAAAAATGAAAATGCAAAGTGACAATAATAGTTTAATATTTCTTCTAGTCCTATTTATAAACTTTAAATTTGAAGAGGGGTGTAATCCATTTCATAAGCTTTAATTTAGGTTTGTTTTAACATGTATTTTTTTATTTATTTTCACCATTAATTATTATTCTCTTTCTTTACTTGCACACTTTCTCTTATTACATTTCTCTGTATTTTTTCTTTTATCATTTTTTATTTATTACAAGAATATTTTTGGAAACAAAAGTATTTTTTTACATATTTATTATTTTTAATTAATTTTAACTAATTATTCATTATAAACAAACTGGTTATTTGAAGTTATAATAAAGATAAAAGGGAATAAGCAACAACTTCAACTCAATAAATCACAACAATTAAAGCTGTGACAATTGAAATTAGTTGTGCAATGATTGTGCGGTGATGAGTTGGATTGGATCCGTGGTTGTTAAATGATGAGTTGGTTGTTAAAATGCACAAACAAATATTAAGAACAAATTAATAAAGTTGTGGAGGAAGACATTCATAACTTTCAGAATTCAGAATAGTTTAGAGAGTTGTTTAGATTATCATTTGAAATTACTATTAAGCATATTTTATGTAAGTCGATATAGAACTCTTTTTGTATACTTACCTTATATTCTACAAATTACAATTGAAAAACTATTTATAAAGCATTTTGAATAAGCTTTAAGAACATAATAACTAAGGGGAATTAAAAAACATTAGCTACAGCATAATGAGAAGTAAAAGGAAAAAAATGAATACAAGTCACTTATGGCATATTCTCCCACAACAACAAAAAAAAACACTAACAAAAATTTTCAATTTTGCATTTTTTTCCAATTTTTTTTATATATTTATAAATTATTCTCATATCTCTCCCTTCTCCCTTTCTCTTTTCAATAAGAATTAAATAAAGGTGAATTTGAAAAATAATTATTAAATATATTACAAATGACTTATATACATTTAGGATCACAGCTCCCCACAAGTGACTTTCATTTAGAACTAGAGCAATATCAGTTGCAACTGTAATTTGTGCATTATGACTGGAGGATAAAAGGACCAGTGATGGGAATGCTGATGATTCCAGTAAACGAAAATGTCTGTGTTGGACTTCTAGTCTCCTGTCTTTCTGAAATAGAAGCTCAATGTCCAACAAACAAGACATGAAGAGTGACCGCAATTTTTTGCGTCTGCAAATGCAAATATGGGTTACCCCTTTTCAGAATTAGAATAATGGGAGCGTGAAGATCCTGATTGAGTATGAGAAGTTGAATCGCTCTCATTGTTGCATTTTTCATCACCTTTTTCATGAGGTGCAATCTTTTGACCTGCAAAAAGATTACTTTCGAAAAAAACCATAAGGAGTCCAAACCAGACGATACAAAGGTAAGATTATATGGTTTTCTCCTTGTAATATATAAAAATCCAAAGGGAAATACAGCTAGTCAAGGAAATGTAAGAATCAGAATGAAAATGAAAGCCAAGTGATGAATCAAACCAGAAAGCCTAAGAAAGAGAGCTAGTTAAAAGAGATGTTGTGGAGATTCAGAGGTATGTCCACAAAAAGGATAAATCTCGGATGATGTTCAAGTGATGAGTCTTGAAGTAATTAGAAGTCAGGAATTTGTTGTTCAGTCTTTAAAAGTAGCATTTCATCTTCAGAAGGGATCTTCGTTTTCCGCAAAAATTGCCAAGAAGTGGGTAAGATATGAGGGGAGGAATTAAAATGATGCGCTAGCCATTTGTAACAGCCTAGTGTATCGCCAATCCAAACAAGCTTGATCCTCTTGTGTAGTCGGAGAATGGGATGAACCACGTAAAAATTGTACAAAAAACCAAGAAGACTTCTGTTCCAAGAAAAAGAAGAGCGCGGCAGTATAAAGCCGGATACTTTAGTTTTACTAATTTATTTTATTTGTTTCGCGTTAAATTTATATAACTGTCTAATGTGTATAATGTGTAATATAAAATTGTTTTGATTTAAATAATTATACTAATTATACCCTTTATTATAATATAACAAACATATATCGTTCTTATTTTTTTAAAAAAAATAATTTTTTATGAGGAGGACTTTTTTTTTAAACCTTATGCAATATACTAAAACCAATTAGAATAAAATTAATAATAAACTACATTGTCAAATCGTTGGGAATTCGTCTCATTTGCCAAATAACATCCAAAAAGAAGTGTTTAGTCTGAGTATAAAATGAAGGGCATTTCATTTAACGCAGGAATAAAATAAACAGAAGGATAATAAGCAGCACTGCAAGCAAATTCGAAAATGAGTCCTAATGATCCATAAAGTTTACTCACATTAACCTCTCCAATTTTACATATTGATCCAATCTATGTTTGGCTCGATGGAGGGAAGGGGAGGGGAGGGATTTTAATCAAGGGAAGGGGAGGGGAGGAAAGGGGAAGGTAGCTACAAAGGGGAGGGGGGGAGGGGGAAGGGAGGGGAGGGATTTTAATGATCTCCTGTTTGGATTGATTGGAGGGGAGGGGAGAGAGCAATTTTAATAATACCTTATTTTGTTCTAATAAAAAATTGACTATTTTAGCCTCATAAAATTTAAATGAATTTTCTCACTTTTTATTTTGTTAAGATATAACTATATATATATAATACAATTCACTAATTTTGATTTACAAGATAGAGTCACACACTTATAGAATATCAAGACAAAAACTCACAAGTGATAGATTTCAATCAGAGAAAAGACCTTGAAGGTGAAAGAAAATACCAACGGCCTCTTAGAATTAGAAGAAGAGAAAAAAAGTTTACAAATGCTTACTAATTTTGGAGATAATTATCTTAATAACCTCTTATTAGATGCTCAAAAGAACTCTCTTATGTAGAAATGTTTATGACAGATTAGAAGTTAACAAATCAAAAGGGTATATAAGGAATTAAAATATCATCTCTCGTCTCCCCTCCAAAAAACCTCACTTTTGGAGGGGAGGCTAGAAGGGAAGGGAAGGGGAGAAAAACCCCTCCCCTCTTTAAAAAATATCTTAACCAAACGAGGGGAGGGGAGGAGTTTCCCTCCCCTTCTAAAAAATTATACCAGCCAAACAAGAGGAGGGGAGCAACTTCCCTCCCCTCCCCTCCGAAAACCCCGTACCAAACATAGCGTTAAGGATCGAAACAAGGCACCATGGAGGTGGCCAGTTAACGTGAGTGACGCCCCCATCTCATTGAAAATCCAAAAATTTTTGTCGCATGTGCCTTTTGAGTGTGCTGTTTCAGATTTCTACCTAATGAGTTGGTCAGGTGTGGTTAGATGTTTCTGTGTGTCTGGTTTTAGGGATGGATGTTGACTGCATGAGTGGACCATTACGCTCCCTCGAAGGAAAAAGTGATAACTTTAATTTTAAATGAGGTTACGTAAATAATTTGTAGACACAGGCACGGGTTAGCAGAGCACTCACGGTACACAGAAGCATACCTGTTTGTAATAAAATGGGTAGATGTGTGCCCTCAGAGGTGCATTGAATAGTATGATATTTTTTTTTAATACATTTAATATCTTAATCTTATTTTTATTGGTATATTATCCGTTTGGTACGAGAAAAATGGAGAAAAAAAAGAGGAAAAGGAAGGAAAATTTTTAATAAATGGAGTTAAAAAAATTTAATTAATTTTTATTACTCTTTTATTTTACATTTTTTATTAAAATTTTATAATTTCACTTCTTCAATTTTTTAAAACGAGCTCATGAAAATTTTCTTTTCCATCCTATTCTCTCAATTTCTCTCATACCAAACATAGTATAAATACAATATTATAGTCTTATTTATAATGTATCTAGCACTTTAAGGATTTAAGTGTTGGATGTGATTAAAAATAATATCAGGGTATTAGATGCACCAAAAACATAAAACTAATGTAGTGAATGCACCTAAAAAATAAAATTAGAATGCTGGTCGCTAGATACATATTATGCCTGATAGTTTTGGCATAATCTCTTTTATTGTCCTTTTCATTTTTTTTAATTTCATGCTTTTCAACTTTTGCCTCTCTATTTTTCTCAAAAAAATTTCTTTTGTTTTCTTTTCAACTAAGGAACTAGTCGCAGTGTCGCACAAGCCATCTAAAAGAAAAGGAAAAGTCATAAAAAGAATTTCAAAGTTATTAAATCTGAGGAAAATGACATAAAAAAGAAGTTGAAATTTGTAATATTTCAATTCAAGTATCTAAAAAGTTAAAATCATAGGAGAAAAAATAATGTCTAATATGATATTTTGCAAATACAGTCAAATGACTAAAATACCTTTGTATCATTTTTTAAAAAAAAAAAAGCTATCAAACTTGTTATTATTAGTACATTTTTTATTATTGATTATTCAACATTTGTTATTATCAGTTCACAACTCGTTAATAAATAACTTTTTATTACTAATACATTTCTTGTCATTTATTATTTAACACTTGTTCTTATCAATTCACAACTTGTTAATAAACTTTTAGATATAAGAACATTTTTGTCATTTAACTACATTTACAGAATACCATATTACACGTTACTTTTTTTTTTTTTTAGAATTTTGACCTCTTAAGTACTTAAATTAGAATACTACAATTTTTAACTACTTTTTATGTTGTTTTTCTTTAAATCTCACATAAGGAATTCTTACAAAAATATGAAAGTACAAAAAATATAGTGTCCTTTTTGTTTTAAATATAAGACTTATTTTGTATTTACACTATAAAATAAGGCTTATATTTAAAAAAATTATACTATATTTAGGACTGGATGAGTAATTTTTAAGTTTTTTGGGGTTTTTATTAAAAAAAACTGTGTAACCTTTGTCTAGGGATTCATGACCAAAAAAAGGGAAAGTATTGGGGCTAAACTCAGAAGTTACTAGAATTATAGGATCAAATGCTTACTTTCCCCAAATGAATAGGAAATGCAATTTGAGGGCAGCACGAAGCCACTTCATGGCAGGAAGAGAGGACACGTGAGACAGCCAGGGTCTGATGGATGCGCTTCGGTAGTTTCCAAGGGGCCAAATAAAAAGTAGTATTTTAATGTTAGTTATGCGAGCCTCGTATAAACCAGAATAAAATAGTTTAATTTAACTGGCGAGAGAAAGTTAACGAGAATAAAAATCCAGAACAACTTTGAGGAGACAAGTTCGAGACTTCGAGGGAAGCACGGGTGAGATGAAAGTGTATTTCGGGATTTTCCATTATTTTCGCTTTTGAGTTAATATTTTATTATTTTCCTATCCTTGTTTTCCCAGAAAAACTTCAAAGTTGCTAGAATCAGAGTCCCACATATGGGGGAACAAGCTGAGCAGAGACTGTGAGAGATCCAATTCTATTTTTCATCCCTTGTCATGGTTATGGCGTCTGTGTCTTTTTGCAGCTTGATCCTGGGCAATGTTGATCTTCGACGGCCAAGATTAGACCTGCAGGCGTAAGCTACGTTACCCTTTAGTCTGAATTCCTTGATCCCACCTTCACTTCCTGTCTCTTCCAAAATCAATTCTTCTCTGATTTCTCCATATCTGCTCCGATTGCGCCACTCGTAGCAATTCAAGCTTTGGGTAGAAGAATGACCTGGAACGAAGAAAACAGTGACTGCTGATTATCAGGTTGTTTTCGCTATTGTTTTTCTTTTTCTTTTTCTTTTTTCAATTCCATTTTTGTTCCCCAGTTCTTCAATTTTGGTTGATTTTGAATTATTGCAGATACCCACTTTTCTGCCTTTCTCTTTTTTTTCTTGCATTCAGAGGTAGAACGTGTTTGCTTGTCGATTTTGAATCGCTTACACCATTTTTAAAATTCCGCCGGACAAGTCGGATGGAGTTTGGTTGATTTAGATTATTGGTGATGAAGAGTTTTGCTTATTCACATGGTTTTCTGCCCATCAACTTTGTCAGAAATCGGTAGTAGTTAGTATTAGCTCCTCTTACCCTACACGGATAATACGAAGTGATTTTTGTGTTTATATGCAGTGAGATAAACTTGAAACTAGTGGGAAGTCACCTTTTCTTCTTGCTTAGTTTATCTTAATCGGACTTTCTGCGTCTTTTGTTTGGCTGTGAAATCATGCACAGGTATTTCTTGCTGTACTCAGTGTACCTTATTGTATACTTCCCGAATCTTTGTTGCAGTTGACTTGTTGATTAAATTCCACATGTTGAACAAGAACTTGGATGCCAGTGGTGAGGAAAGTCGGACATGAATTTGTGGGTTGATCATCTGCCAGTACTTCTGCACCTAGTCCTCGATTTACATTCTTTGAAGACATTTGATAGCTTTTGCAACTGAGAAGCTGTTCTAATGGAGCTAAAGAAGCCGGAAATTTTGTTTGTTGCCAACCCTAGGAGGGCTCCAGGTGCGTTTACTCAATACATACATGCAGGATCAGCCAGTGGTGTTTTAAAAACAGGACAGGATGTGCATAATAACATCTCAATACAGCCAGGGAAAGAATTCTCTGCCGAGTTTGGTCATGAAGGAATTGCTGGTAGAAGAGAACCTGCTGCGCCTGATTCACTTGGAAAGCATGAAGGTAGGTTTGGTATTCACGTGGAGAGTGGCCAAGTGAGATATGAAGATCTTACTAATATTCTGGGATTGAAGAGAATGGCCTCTGAGAATCCTTTTGACGTTGCCGATCTTAACTTGGCACAAGAGCCAACTCAAGAGATAGAAAATAGGACTTTTGTTGATAAAAATAGCAAAATTCAAAAGGAAGGTGGCAGTGTTACACAAGGAGTGAGGAAAACTCTTGGTGAATCAGTTGGTGACCAAGCTGTTACAGGAGCACCTGGGTCTCCCTTTCTCAGAAAAGAATCCTCCTATTCCAATGAGGTTTCTGGTTTAGGAGGTTCAGATGATTCTCAATCTGGAAAAATTAAGTTACTATGCAGCTTTGGTGGAAAAGTATTACCAAGGCCCAGTGACGGGAAACTCAGATATGTAGGGGGAGAGACTCGCATTATATCTATCCGAAGGGATATTTCATGGCAAGGACTTGTTAAGAAGACCTTGGGTATTTGCAATCATCCTCACACAATTAAGTACCAGCTTCCAGGTGAGGATCTTGATTCTCTAATATCTGTTTCCTCTGACGAGGATCTTCAAAACATGATAGATGAGTACCATGGGCCTGAAAGGCATAAGGGATCTCAAAGACTTCGAATTTTTTTAATTCCCTTGAGTGAACCTGAAAAGGAATTGTCATTTGAAGCAAGAACTGATCAGCAGAGTAATCCTGATTACCAATATGTTGTTGCGGTGAATGGCATAGGGGACTGTAGTCCTGGAATAAATGGTTCAGGGCAGAGCTTGACAAATGAAGTTGGTCCATTGGGGACGAGTTTGAATTTTGCTCCGGACTTTCAGAAAAGATTTCCAAATACACATTCTTCTTCGGAGATCAAGGGTGGTGGTAGTGTTATACATCCAAATGGGTTTTTTAATGAATCTCAGAGTCTGCAGAGGACCTCCAATCAACATCAACATATTTCTACTACCCCATTTGACGGAGGAAATTTGAGCACAGTTTATCTGCAGTCTCAAGGTAATAGCTCATGGCAGGAAAGTGCTGCAGGTAGCTTATCCTTTATTACTGCCCAATTATCGCCTGAGACATCTAGTGTACCTGCTGATAGCAGATGCTCCCAACAAATGGCTGCAACTTTCCTATATGACAATCACCCCTGCCAACAAGCTGATGTTACTCTGCCAGAGCTGTACCACCAGAAGCTATTCAAGAATAATCCTGGCAAGGAATTTATAACGGCCTCATATGCTAATCAAAGTGACAGTTGTAATGATGAAATTTTGGGTGAAAAGTCTATGCATCAATCAGGAAATCCTCTTTCCAGCCTGGGCGAATCAGTTTGTCCACAGTCTGGATCAAATTGTATTCCTGATTCTCTAAATTGGATGCCCCATGCATTTTCTGATTCGAAGTTGCATGAGAGTGGATTAAAGTCTGGTTACTGCTCTCAAGAAGGGGTTGGTCAATTTTCCTCGTTGAACCTTTCAGTGGCTCAGTTATCTTCAATGTTATCCTCCAATGTTTCACAAAGGGACCCTGTGGAAATCCAGCATGATCCGCTTCTCATTTATCCCCAAAGACAAAGTAAGATACCAAATGTTGAGCCAGGTGAGTTGCACAGAAGGCAGGATTTTCCATTTTCTTCTCCATCTGCGGTATGTTTAGGAGTGAATGATCCTATTCAGAAGGATAGCATTTTATACAGTAGGGGGAATCCTTTAGCTCAAACTGATTTAACAGCACCTAGCTTTATAGAGCGGCAGTGTGGGGACAATACTGTGAAAACAGAAATCATGAAGAGAATGGAAGACAAAAGTTCTCTTCAGACTAACGAGAGCAATCTTTATGAGAGGGAATCACCTGCCGTTGCTATAGAGCATGTGAATGATTTGCATATTCTGGATTCTTCTCCAGCATCTAATTCAAACATTAAGATTAATCAGTTGGAGCAATCTTATGATGGTATGATTTCTGCATCCTCTTGCTTGACAGGAATTTCCCAAAACAATCTGATTGAGAAGACCCCATCAAATTTTCTTGACATGAGACACGGGACTAGTGATGGAAGAGATTGTGGTTTAACTGAAGGTTTGAATGGTGGGCTGGGATTTGATTTTTCTTGGACCAGAAAATCTAGCTTTAATGCTTCATCCCTAAAATGTGAAGGAACCTCTTCTGGCAAAACTTCTCCAAGCGATTGCTTGTTCGACCTGTCCATGGACCCGGTTTCTCGTAAACAAGCACAAGTTCAACCTTTTCACAAGGATACAGATCTCTGTAGAAATCCGACAGTAAGCTCAGCTTTTTTGTATCCTTCAGTACTTCGTGATGACCCTGGTCCTAGTTCAAATTTGCCTGTGAATGAATTACAGAACTCAAGCAAGAATACTGTGTTTAAAAGAGTATCTTCTCTCGATGAACTTGTAGCTAGTTCTAGTCAAGTGGTTGATCAGTATAGTGGTGGAACTCTTGCTTGTGAAACAAAAGCTGAAGATATCACGTTGGAGCAATCAAAAAATTTTGAAAAGTGCAACAATTTGAATAAAGTTGAGCCACTTATTGGTGTAGAAGATTTGACTGATGTTGTTCCTCCAAGTGTTGAGCCTTCATTGGTGCCCAGCCCACATATAGTGGTTGAAATTGGAAGTGATGTTGTATCCCCATCTGCAACAGAATTGGAGAGCGCTATTCCAGATTCTGAACCTGAGGTAGAAAATATTGCAATCAGGCAAGAACATCTGCCGGTTTTTTTCAGAATCTCTAACAAAAATATTTTCCTTTATAGGATTTTAAAGATGATGAAGAAGACAAGAATGAATCCCTTACTGTTGCAATGATAGCGGAAATGGAAGCCAGCATCTATGGCTTACAGGTTGCCCATCATTGAAATGTTCCATTTCCTGTTTCTGTGCTTGATATTATTTGGCTGGCTTGAACAACATTGTCAAATCCACTACCCATGTAGAAAATTTTCCTTTTTACACAGTGAATTCATCTGTTGCTTTGACACTTAATACCTTGTGTTCTATTCTCTGGTTTAAACTTACTAGTATCTGATAATAAGACTTTTAGCAACAATTCCATGGTAATGGGGGAAAATGAATGAAGCAATATAACATGGCTCATCACCTCATGCCACTTAAGTCCTAGTTAAAAAGATTATAAAACAAATAAAAAATAAAAATAGATTACTCTGTCTCCTGTTTCCCTTAGTGATTAATATTAGAGTATGATATGCACCATATAGTTAAATACAGCGTGGTCGCCAATTATTTAGCTGCGGGGATGACTTAATTGTGATTCCTGACATCAAAACTGATAAGACTCCACGTGTACTTTAATGACATGGTTAAAAACCAAAGGTTAGTCCCATCAAAATTTCCAGGTGTCAATGACATTTTGGCTGAATAACATTTTTTCTCCTTTTAGAAGTATGCAGTACAGGGGACTGGGATCTATTAGCTGACATCAATATTAGATCCTTGTTTGTCTTACAATTGCTTTCTTCTCATGGGTGCTGTAAAATGGGCTCCCTGTAGAAAGTGACCATCCAGATTGATTGTTATGGCTGTTGATATGCTGTATAACCCTTTGCTTAGCGGATTTTTTTTGGGGGTAAAATTACCTTATAATTTTTTCCCATTTATGCATGAGATGATCAAGATTTGTCCTTGTAAATGTAACAAAATAGTCATTTGCTGTTCACAAAAATTAATCATTCAATATTTCATTTTACCAGTTTCCATCTTCCTAACTGTCAGTATTGCTATGTGTAAAGTAATGCTACAAAGAACTGCATGGTGGTATGGTGAATTTAAGAAATCATGGTCTTACCTACCTTTTATTTTCTTTGGAATATAATATAATACACTGTTTTTTATGTCTCTAAACTGTTATGATCCGCTGTTTCTGACCTCTGCAAAAATTGGGGAAGATATAAATTTTCTTGACATGTGTGTCTTGTACTGGAGCTTTGTTGTTGTGTTTATAGATGCTAGTATATACCATCGAGCTACCTGGTCCTTTCCTGTTTTGTCAACTCTATTATTTGTCCATAACTGATTTTTAAGATCATCTCATTTAGATAATTCAAAATGCCGATCTTGAAGAACTTCGGGAGTTAGGATCTGGTACTTATGGAACTGTTTATCACGGAAAATGGAGGGGAACTGATGTTGCTATAAAGAGAATTAAAAGGAGCTGCTTTTCAGGAAGATCTTCTGAGCTAGAGCGATTGGTTAGTCTTCAATTCTATTTTGTTTTCAACACCTTATTTAATCTATAACGTGAATAATATTTATCTATATCCATAGGTCTATGACATCACCTCTTTTAAGTAAAGTGGATGGAAATGAAATCAGGTTTAACCCAGTGCTTGCATGGAGTTTCACTACTGTTTTTTGTTTTTTTTTGTTTTAAATTGGAATTGGAATTTGATGATGCCTCAAATTGGAATATCTTTTATTGCATCTGGCTTCTAACAGAGCGTAAAGTTTCTCTAGAGTACACTGTTAATTTTATAGACTGAAGCTTCTACGGGTAATCAGTGATGAGGATTATAAAATAGACAAGTTCTTGATAACTAACTACGGATGTGCCAGATTCAGTTCCTTTGGTCGTTTCATTAACGGTGTTTCACTTGCACTTTACTCTCTTCAGTGCAAGGCGCACTTTTAGGATCCAAATCCCTTCAACACGTAAAATCTAAAAACCATATGAAGAGATTTCTTGCATGTTATTTTGCTAATATTTCTTCAATTTTAGGCAATACCATCTCAGAGCTTCTTTTCAAACTGCCAACAGTACGTTTCTATCAAAATAAAAAAGAAAATAAAATCCACTTGAATCTGATACTGTTTTATTGCCTTGGTTAGACAAAAGACTTCTGGAGAGAGGCGCAAATTCTCTCAAATCTTCACCACCCCAACGTGGTTGCTTTTTATGGGGTTGTACCGGATGGAGCTGGAGGAACCTTGGCGACTGTAACTGAATATATGGTTAACGGTTCCCTTAGGCATGTCCTTGTCAAGAAGGATAGGTATGCTAACGCCGCTCTTGTTCTGCGCTTAATGTTGGATTGTTATTTATGCATGTATTGAATCTCCATCTCTTCATGCAGATTACTTGATCATCGTAAAAAGCTAATAATTGCCATGGATGCAGCTTTTGGAATGGAATATTTACATTCAAAGAATATTGTTCATTTTGATTTGAAATGTGACAATTTACTTGTCAATCTGAGGGACCCACAGAGACCCATATGTAAGGTGAGATGTCTAGATTCTAAAAATCATCTTGTTTGAAGCAAGAGACAAGGCCTCCTTTTGCTGCTGAATGTGCGTACAGTATCATTTGATTTAAAGTGATGAAGAATATACGGAGGCAGGAAATTTAAGTCAAATCAAGTATAATAATACAGTTGGATGGAAATTATTAAAGACTAATAATAACTGAAACATTTGGAGTGATCTTTGACATGGCAGAAAACCTCCATGAACAATTGATCAAGAGTTTCATTTGCTACCCTCATTTCCTAATAAAAAACTTTTTGCACGAGGTATAGTGGGCATGTAGTTTGTCCACACTTAAGCGTTTATGGCTTTTGAGTGAGGAGACTAGTTGAAGATTATGATAAAAGTATCCACTGGCTTTTATTTAATAGCTGAAGCTTTTAGGATGAAGTGGTCATTGACATACATGAAATTTAGTTTGGACTCCCTAAAATATTTCTTACCTAATAATACTAATGTCTATCCTTTTGCAACCTTTTTCCCATGATTAAATTTTAGGTTGGAGATTTTGGATTATCAAGAATTAAACGCAATACCCTGGTATCTGGGGGTGTGCGAGGAACCCTTCCTTGGATGGCACCAGAGCTGTTGAACGGCAGTAGCAACCGGGTTTCCGAGAAGGTCTGTGAGACTGTTGAGATGCATTTTTTTTTTAATAGAAAGGAATTAAATGAATTTTTTGGGTGGATATTTAGCTTGTGGAATGACTTTGATAGGTTGATGTTTTCTCATTTGGCATCTCTATGTGGGAGATATTGACTGGGGAGGAACCTTATGCAGATATGCATTGTGGCGCTATTATCGGTAAGATATACTCAATCATGATCATTTTCATGCCCCTGCAGTTTGATCCAAGCTAATTGACCGTACCACGAAATCAGAATTATCTTTTTCATAAAATATAAGTCGGACTTTTCAGACAGAAGATTAAATTTTATTAGAACTAAAAAATGAACCTTCTCTTCCATAGGTGGCTGCATAAATTTCTGCATTATTCGATATAAGTGACAGATATCAGTATGGCTTAAGAATAGAGGTTTGTGATTTCTTGAGATGCACTGGAGCTTCTGTCTTTTAGTTGTTGCAAGTAACTTGTATAGCTGTAACGGAATTTCATATTGCTGTTCTTTGCTCTGAAACGACTTTATATAGGAAGCTTAAAGGACAAAACAAATGAAGAGAAAAGGTCTTCAAAATTCAAATACACAATTATTTTGGTTGAGAAATATACCGTGTGTCTGGCCGTTCTGCGTGCTCCATTGCTCTTTTGTTTTAAATATATTTGATGTTCGGAATTTTATATGTCGGAAAGATATAACAGCTGCAGTTAATTAAAATCAAGCGCGGTGGAGTGAATGTTCGAAGTTGCAATTGAGCAGCACTGATGCTTTTCTGGCTTGCATTATTGATTTGCTTCCTTCTTGGCAACATGTGATTTTAGGGGGGATTGTAAAGAACACTCTTCGACCACCAATTCCTCCCCGTTGTGACCCTGAGTGGAGGAAGCTTATGGAAGAATGTTGGTCACCTGAACCCGATAGCCGACCATCTTTTACTGAGATAACTAGTCGTCTCCGATCAATGTCTATGGCCCTCCAAGCCAAGCCTCATAATCAGTTGCGGCAGACAACAAACGGTGTTCATTCCTGAAACCAAGGCATGCTTTGGTCATCCTTTTCCATTCGTTGTCCATTATCTCCCAGCACCGAGTATTAAAGTTGGCTTGAATTCTTGAGGAGTGAGCACAATTATATAGCCTGCTGTTTCTCTTTTTCTGTCGGCAATATCTTCATTTGTTTATTCTTTTAGTGGAAGTTGAAATTTAGATCATGGTATAAGTTGATTGTATCTATCAATTTTCTGCTTGTTTCATGATCGAATATTCTGCCAGATTATAGGGGAAAAAGCAGGACATCTTTACTGTATAGGTACATATATATTGCATGACTGTGAGTCTGTAAATCCTACAAATATATATTGCATGATTGTGAGCTTGTAAATCCTGCAAATTTTTGTTCATTTTTATGGAAACACGTCCAATTTTCCCATTTCCCTCATCTTTTCTGTTTCTCTTCGTTATGAACTGGCGGTGGGGAGGGTGATTTTTATTTCATGTGATTTTTATAAACATAAATTAAGGTAAAAGTAAGATAAAGAAATGGGATTTATATTTCAATTGACTTTCATCAAAAAAATCAGTTTAACAAGTTGAAATTTATTTAGATTATTAATTAGATGCAAAATGATTGAAAAAGACAAGTTTTATTATATATGTATATTATAATGTGATAATTCTGAAAAAAATGTTAAAATCAAAATTATGAAAATAAAAGGATTTGGTGCATTATTGAAAAAATTTGTAAAATATACTCACTATATTTTAATTAAAAATTTTAAGATTATCAACCTTCGATTTTGACTAGTCAAACATAAAAATTAAATTTAAAATAAAAAGTATTTTTTTAATTATTATTTTTACATTAACAAATAAAAATAACAATAAATAAATCTGAGTAGTAGGGTCATTTTCTATAAAAAGTATAGGACACTTCTTTTTGAGACGAGGTACAGTATAATTATCACTTGATGCATTGGAGAAACTATGGAAAATGGCTTCAAGTTAGAAGTTATTTTTTTACGTGAAGTTTTTTTTTTTGTTTCATCGTGATCCCAAATTGTGATCCCAAACGAAAAAGGTCAAAAGTTATTTTTGTGGGTGAGAAGTCAGTTTAGGATCTCCAAACTTGATCCGAAACACAAGCAAAGCCAAGTATGATCAACTTCTGTTTGAGTATGTCTTTGGTTTGCTTTGCTTTAGCAGGTGTCCCCGAAATTTGCCTGAAGATTACGATGTTTGGAATACCTGGCTCATAAAATTAAACTCTACGTATGACATATTTTCGTTTGGGTGAAACTTATTTATTACATAATATAGCTTTTATAATTGCGACAAACCTTTAAAGAGCATTGTAAGGTCTTCCAAGTTTCAACGCAAGTTTATGTCAAAATATTTTTTTTTTTAAAAAAAAGGTAAAAATCAGTGTGTTATTAACATTCTTACTTTTTAAGGAGACTTTAAGGACATTTTGTACAAAATTAAAATATATTTCAAATGGATAAAATGGGCCGTTTAGGAGTCAGTTACTACCTCCGATCCTAATTATAAGACTTTGTTTGTGATAGGACCATTTAATTTAATTATCTTCTATATTACACCTAGGTTTTAACAAAAGTAATAACATGAATGTTGAAAAGAACCATATCTTTAAAATATTCATTTTTCTTTTTTATTTTTATTTTTGGATTTGAATAATTCTGAGTCTCCAGGATTTTTATAAAAAAATATTATGAGTTTGAACTTTTACCATTACCGTAGGAGCTTAGTCATGGTAAGTAGGTAACGCAACACCGTGTTTCGAAAATATAATTGGAATTTAATAGATACATTCAACTTTAAACACATTCTTACCCGCGCTCAGCAGGAAAAAAGTGGGAGCGCAACTAGAAATAGCATTTTCGCGGCGCTGGGGGAGGCATCTCCACAAGCGTAGTGAAGCTGGGTGATTCTTACCTTTGGGCTAGAAAAAAAGAGCTTGCTTGTCATGCTCCCGTGCCCATAGGGACAGGCCCCAGTGGATCAAGCGTTAGGGGCCCTGCCCTTGGATCGTGGGTGAACCCGACCCCTTTCCTAAAATTTTCTTACCAAAAAAAAAAAAAGAAAAAAAAAAGAGATTTTGGAGAGAACAAATCTATCCTTCAATTATTTTTACTCTCATCAATTTTGGGATCCGCATGTATTGTTTCTCAATGTGCTATTTTAGAATTATTTTAAGATTTTTGAAGTCATTGTATGAAAGTTATTATAAAAATACAAATTCAAATTAGATAAAATAATTGCAAATTAAGATTAAAATGAAAAAAATATTTTAATTCTATTTGATAAATTTTATCATATGCACATGCATATATTTTTGAAAATAACAATGTTGTTAGTGTCCACATAAAATTAACCCCTTCTTTTTTCTGCTAGCCGGAGTACAAGGCAAGAAAATCACTTCCCAGCACTTTTCCTTTTTTTTCACTTTCTTTCCTCTCATTCCCTCTTCTCAACCAACCATAGGGTCACTGCATACACGTGCATGCTTGTTCAAAGTAGTTTCTTCCCATTTCTCTAATCGTTTTTTATTTTTGGGGCAACTCAATCGGGTTTGACTCGGGATAAAATATAAATTTTCAACTCTTCCGTTCAAAAAATCATGCTCAACATGTAACCATCGTTGAGAGAGAGAGAGAGAGAGGATGGCATAAACAGACGGCAAAATCAATAACATGTGGCGTAAACAGAAACGTGAGCAACTGTAAACTAATGATAAAGCTTTCCCGTATCCAGAAAGTGTGTGCATACAAATCATAGCTTGGTTTACCATTAAAAAAAACCTTTATAATGATACAATGACTGTAATCAAGCTTGAAGCAGTAATAAACCCTACCCTGCAGGATTGTAGGAGACCACACAGATGCCCCGCCTACTGAGGGGTATATATATTTACTGGTCCTTCCTGCAGAAATTTGTACTGCCTCAGTAAAAAAATTTGGAAAAAAAAATAGCTCCTATAGTTTGTTAATTCCCATTGGATTTTACAGATTCTGTGAGCATCTTTGCCGTCTTGATAGCCATCAGCATCAGCGATTGCATAAGTAGAGCCCCTACTGCAATTTCTCCAGAAATATATATAATATTTCCACACAAGGAAATCGATTATATGCGAGCAGCGGGTGGAAACGTGTGCTCAATCACCTGAAACTCAAGATATCTATCAACACTATCATTATGACGCAAATGCCACCAAAACAACACGTAAAATGCATTCATATTGGGTAGTAGTAAAATTTGAAACAAATTCATGCGCACGTTACTGTAAAATTACTGCACAAACTACTAATTACTGCCCCGTTACAAAAATTCCATTAACCCAGGTTTAGACGATGCAAAAATCCTTCAACCAATTAAAACAGAAAAGAATAATTTGAACAAATTAAGGAAACTAATTTGAACAAATTAAGGAAACTAAATAAATTACTTAATTTTGACATAGATGACCTAATCTCCCTAAAATAATCATCTGTAACATTTATTATACTATTAAGAGTTAGTTGGAGATTGAATTTCATCTTAAATATAAGATTTCAATTTACTTTATCTTTCAAATTTATAAATTTTTTTTAATAAAATATCCTTATTGATTGAAAGAGTTCCACTAAGAAATAGTTCAATTGTACATGATTAAATATGATAGCTTAAGGAAGCAAGCACATATTTATTACAATTAACTAATTTAACTAATTTTTTTATTTCTTTAAATTAGTTATATAGCTCTTATATAAAAAAAAATAGAGATAGTATATCAGTTTTATAAGTTAAGTAAATCAGTTTGAAAAAAAAAGAAGAAGATAAATATGAAAAATAAAATAGATTAAAGTCTGTTGCAAAACCCACCCCTAACTAAGTCCGAGGAGTATAAGAATCTGCTACAATTCAGCCTTTTTCAAAAATTAAGCTTAACAGATCTACTTTGATGTCAGAATGATGAGAGTCGAATGGTCAAATTCTGTGGTGAAATAACTAAAACACCCTCCTCTAACAGTATGAAAGTGCAACGAGTTACTCTCAAAGTCAGAAAATATGCACAGCTTCACCCCTAGTCTCAACGTCTTATAAAGTGATGCTTGAAGCTATAGGATATATAATAAATAAGCAAGTTATATCACTTGACCAATCAATGTAGCCTTTAGCTGGTCTCTAATGTATATGACGTCATTAATTATTACTTTATAAAAGGAATTATTCAGTGTACTTTTAACAGATAAATAGAAAGAGAGACCGCGCAGTTAATGCTAAACTAAGGGCATGTCAAAATATTGCATGCAAAGCTATCCATTTATGTGATGAAATTTGGCCATTCAATGTACTGCAATAAGGCAAGAAATTAAGAGTTTACCAATACAACAGTTGACTCTGCTCAATCCGATCTCTCCAGATCCCTAAATCTTTTGTCCCAATCACGAGCCTCAAACTCTTGCTCAACCAAGTCTTTGTCAGTACGGTACAAAATTTGATCCTGTCCAATGACTGTCCTTTGGGCCATGTCCCGGGCACTGAGAAGCTGAAGGCCACAATGAAGACTGTTTCTCAGGAGGACTATGCTGAGTATCCATACATGAATAACCTTTTGCACTTAAGCCAACATCTAGTTCTATTAAATTAACTAAATTCCTTGACTTGATGAATAGCTAGTACTATTTGTCACGCTGAAGCTCCAGGGATATACAGTCCAAATTAAAATTACACGACGTAATTTGCCATTCGGTAAAAAACTTAAATTATTTTAACTTGTCCTTATAATTAAAATTACTATGAAGAATTATCACCAAAAAAAATTGCTATGAAGAAAAGGGGGAGCATGATGGCACATAATAACATAACATGTGATAGAGATACACCTGTCAGATGTGATCGAATCATGAACAGCACCCAACAAAACAAATCCACAACAAGGAAATCAGATGGAATGCATTTAATGAAATCAACCAATTTCTTTCAAATTATCATTTCCAAATATCAAGTGCTTAGATGATATAGTTAAAGATTAGTATTGAGCGAGATCACTTCCAAAATAGATTAATCATAGCAAGTACTTTTTTTTTTGGGGGGGGGGGAGAGGGTTGTCAGGTACGTTCAGTAACAAAGTACTCCACATGTCTAGTCCTCCATTCTGTCTATAAATTTTCCATTATCAAAGAAAATAACTATTCTAATTTTTCTTTTCTTCAGGATGTCAGCAGTTTACACATTGGCCGTGAGTTTCCTTTTTATAAACAACACATCTTATCATTTATCAAAGACATTATTTTATGGGCTTACAGTTTGACGCACAGTGTCAAAGTTATGGAGATCCACAAACGTAAAGCTGAAAATTAAGGAATTTCTTTGCCGCAGCCCACAACAGACTGAAGCAAAAAAAAAAAAAAAAGCACATGTGATGGGAAGAAT